TAACTCCAGATTGAAGTCTGATAACATCGTGGGAGAAGCTGGGGATAGCTCTGGAAGCTTGAGTGTTGATCATGTAGAGGATGCAAGACCGAGTCATTCATCCGGTAATGCTGAGATCACTCCCGAGGCTTCCCCTATCGAAGAGAAGCAAAGCCAAATTGATTCCCCTGCAAACAAGACTTCTTCTGCTTATGATGGGAGTAAGTCTTCGTCTGACGAAAGAGAAGACCAACTTCTCGATGAAGACGAACAATGGAATGCTCTTCAGAAAATAAGATCAGAGAAATTCGAGACGCAGAGATACCCTGTGAGTTATAAGGAGCAAGGCGCGAGTTCCTCATCCACTTTCTCTGAGAAGAGGCGGAATGGGACTACCGCATACAGCGAATGGCATCAGAACAGGTCTCTGCAATTAGAGGGGCCAGGAGGACGTCTTGGAAGAGAGAGAAGACATGTGACAGAACAACTTAGACCTGACATGCCTTTCTATCCGAGAGAACCATACACGCGTGTAAGCCCTTCCTATCCGTCACACGATGAGTTTGATCGATATTCCCATGCACATTCTCTTCAAATGCCTTCATACGCTGGAGGCACGAACCAGGAATGTGTTGACTATATGTATCACAACCACACAAGGGCAAGAGGTCGGGGCCAAGGATTCTCACGCATACCATTCTCAGAAGAGATGGTGGGTGACAGGAGAAACCATGCCCGTTGGTATTCAGGTCAGCTCCATAATTCTTACAGTTCATATTCTGCAAGTCCACAGAGACCAATGGAACAACCTGAGTATTATCCAAGATGGAACTGCGAAATAGTCTCTGATGCGGAGGATCATCAGTGTAATAGGCCCGCCGGCCATCGCCATGGATTACAGAGACAACGTGTGGCCAAGCGTCATGTCCGCCCAACAGCCGGTGGGGCACCTTTTATTAGCTGTTACTGTTGCTCAGAAAACTTACAGCTTCCTGTAGATTTTCTTATCTTCAAGAGGAAGCATCATCTTCTCAGATGCGGCACTTGCACCTCTGTTCTCAGATTCTCGCTTCAATCCAGAACTCATTTAGTACCTGTCGTAACACATGACATAGACGCTAATAGGAGTAGCAATTCAACATCAGAGTCTCCAAGAGACAAAGCTCCTTCCAAACCTGAAAAGCTGAGCTCTTCTGTTCAGGATGAGGAGCTTCCTGTGGCTAGAGGCTCTCCGCTTCATCGGCTAATGGGATATTCTACTGTAAGCCAAGTCTTTAAAGCTTCGCAGCGTCCTCCTTCAATATAGATCTCTGCTTCTGATCAAGCAACGAGAACTACGTGCTTCTCAGATGGAAAGTTTTGCCATTGCTTTACATTCTTTTTCTCACATCTGTGTATAGGTAAAAGATTTGTTTCTGCACTTCTGTTTAAAGTAGAGAAAATCATGACACTTGTGCAAAATTATACAAAAAAGAAGATATTGCTTATCTGTTGTATATATTCATGAGGATTTTTATGTTTGTAACAAGATTGAATTCATTATCATTCCTGGCTTTATCAATCTACTATATAACTTTACCACTTGTATAGAAAAGGTTTGAGAGAAATATATCTGTATGAACTTAGTTGAAGCTGTCCTTATATCGATTCGTCCTCCTGTTGGACCCTATAGAGATCCTCTGATCCTGCAGCATGTTCAGGTTCGGGGCTAACAGTCTCGTGTACCGATCGAAATACAGAAGCTGCTTCATTAGAAGAGCAAACTCTCTCGGGAACTTCAGCCCGTATGATTCGCTAACACGCACCTACATAAGAAAGAAAACTTGTTTTCATCGGTATGAACTCTGGGGTTAATCTTAACTTACATTGATGGAAATTCTGTATCTAACAACTTTAATACCGAAAACATAATCCATAAACAACAACGTCTAATTAGGCAATTAGTGCTTACCAGGTCGAGGAAAAGAGCATTCATCTGTCTCTCATCCACAACTACGTTAGCAGCAACAGCAGTTCTATCTGAATTTGGTCCACGAGCTGTAGCCACTACTATCTCTGTATCGAGTTCCTGCAAGAAGAGATTCACTCATCTCCATAAGATTACCCGAAGTTGTCATATTCTTTTTGCACTACAGTCCTGAAACCAAATCATACTGATTCCTCTAAACAGATTTAGCTGGTTACAGAGGGTCAGCCTAATCCTTAAGTCCAAGGTTGTTAAGAGTTTGCTTGCCTGGATGGAAGAAAACATCTTTTCCAAGTCTCTAGCAAAAGCTTTGGCATCAACATCTCTGTTTGTGGCGCCCATCTGAATCAAAGCTGAAGCCATGGAATCATATTCTTCAGTTGCAATGGACGCTAAAAATACTTCCATAGCAGCCCATGTTTTTGGGGATATACGCCCGACAATGCCTGAAAAAAATGTGGATACTTACTTGAATACACCAAAAAGTTACCAATAAATAGATTAGCATTGGTTATACAACACTGCATTTTCATGAATCAGTTGATGAAAATGAGGCACAGTAGGATCGCTTCGGAGTAACTGAAATGCAACATGTAAGAACTGTTGCAGCAATTAGGATTGAGACAGTATGATTTACCAAAATCAAGAAACCCAATCCGGCCATCACGCAACAGCCATAAGTTCCCTGCATGTACATCAGCATGAAAGCTTTCGCAAGCAAGTAAACTTCCAAACCTGCAGGTTACATTCACATGAAGATCATTTTACTAACTTCGACTTTTAGGAAGAGGGGTAATCTTCTTTTCAATATTGAATTCCAAAGATCTTACCACACATTAAGGGCGGTAATCAGGCTGTTTTCTGGACTGGAAACAAGTGATCTTATAGAATCTAGGTCAGTGAGAGGAACTCCATATAACCTCTCCATTGTAAGTACCCGCCGGCTGCTGCAGTGCTTATACACTCTTGGAGCAGTGGCTTGTCCAGACAACCCCATGGTATCAAGATATCTCTTAAATGACTCAATGTTTTGAGCCTCCTTATTGAAATCTACTTCTTCAAGCATTGACTCACGAATGTCCTTGACAATACCAACCTATTAATAAAGATATATTGTTTAGAGAGTAACTTAGCAGCAACTGCAAATTTAACTCCAATGAGCTACGATTCTCTACAGCTACTTGAGAGTTTACCAGCGAAGTACGGCTGAACTCAGGACTTAGGAACTCAAATATACGGGCAACAACGTAGATAAAGTTCAAATCTGCCACTAAGAAATCTTCTATTCCAGGCTTCAAGACCTTAATCACTACATCCTCTTGGGAGCCTCGAAGTCTTGCACCATGGACCTGGTCATGATGATTCACTTAAGCATAAGAAGAGTATATACAAAATGAGTTTCGATCAATGAAGCAGAAGCAGAAGAACACACTTGTGCTATTGAAGCTGATGCAATTGGTGTAGGATCAACATATTCATATACGCTATCTATGGGTCTCCCAAGCTCCTCTTGCAAGGTTTTACGGATTTCTTCAAACGGCACAGGAGGAGCTTTGTCAAAGCAGTTCTGAAACTCTTCGACATATTCTGGTGGGAACAAAGTTGGCGCAGATGCTATAAACTACAAATTCAAAAGAGTGGTGTTAAATGGGAAATAAATTGAGAACTAAGCTTACTGAACATACACTTCCAATGTTTCTAGTGACTCACACGACATCATCAAAGGATACAATATGCTCTACATTTTGCAACATGAGTTACCTGGCCCAGCTTAATATAAGTAGCTCCCATGCGTTCAAAGAGTTTCCTCAAATATATAGGAGATAATAGACCAAGCTGCATTTCAGTTGGTAATCCACCAGTCACACTACTTGCCGACTGCAGCAACAGAGAAAATGGTTTGTAATCAGAGATAGTTTGAAACCACCGGGGAAAAAAAAAAAACTTTCAGCTGACAGGAAGTGTCAAAAGTCTTAATCATATGAACAAGATTTATGAATGATTTACTTGAAACCTACATGGAAACTAAAAAAAAAAACAATCAACAATTACCTTAGAGACATCATTTAGCCACTCTCCTCCAACCCCTACAAAGGCTTGAACGCCTTGGACAAGGCGTAACGCACCGCGTGGACCTGTGTTTATCGATGTCTGCACTATATCCTCCACTAGTTTGGGTAAGTTCTCTATCCGGCCTGCATCAAAATCCATTTGAATAAGCACACGAATCCATTCTAATGTGTAAGATTTCAAGGAAAAGTTCTCTCTCAAACATATGAAGATAAAAAAAACTCAATTAGCAACAGAAACTCAATTCTGAAGGATCATACATCAAAACAGTACACAATCAGATTGAATTTACAAAAAGTAGGAAATTTCCGTACTTTGAAGACGAGAAGTGAAAAGGTCCTGGGCTTGCGAATACTGCGCCGAGAGAACAAAACCCTTCGAATTTCTACCTCCGATCATCTTATTAGACCTTCCAGATACAGTTCTCGCGACTGGAAACTGCAAAATGAAGCTATCGATAATCAGCAAGAGTTTTGGCATTCGCCAATTTTGGTAGCTAAGAGGAGTTACAGGAAACAGATTCATTGAGGGAAATCACAAGTAGACCTGAGAATGGTGAAAGAACGGTAATCGTGTGCCACGAAAAGCTGAGACCGCCATCGCTCGCCGGAGGTTGAAACGGACGAGAAACTCCGATCAAGCGTTTACTCTTTAACTCTTAACCTCTTAAAGTGTACACACAAAACGACTCCGTTTTTGCACCTTTAAAAATTGAAATATCCGGAGCAAGAGAGTGAAGAGAAATACGCCACGTGGAGACGTGTAAGAGGTAAGTTTCCTTCTCGGTTCGATTCGATTTTCCGGTTTACGTTTTCCAATTTCGTTAAACCGAACCGTAACTGGGACGCTTTGGTGGGAAGTTGAGATAAGGGCAATTACATAAATACCCTTATAAAAATTGAGAAATAACAAAACCAACTCTAACCCTAATCTCTTCCACGGAACTTCATCTCTCTCTCTGTATTCTCTCGACGCCGTTGCTTCGCCATCGTCGCAACCGGTGAGTGTTTCCTTCGATTTTCTTCCATAAATTCTTCTCTTTTACATATGGGTTTGTTCTTATTACCTTAAAGAATCTAATTTTGGAGTCAGAATATTTTATGATGAATCCTGAGTTTTGATATTGATATGAAACTGAAACTTGTAACTGTTTCTATGATTCATCTCTGTCTTAACGTCTTAAGGATAAA